AATGACGTGCATGGGATAGTCCTGAAAATGTTTTATGAAATTGCTGGTGTTGACTGTAAACTTTGAAGCTCTGTAGGCTGCAAACTCGCCCAACGTTGCGATAGGTCTTTAACAAAGTCCCTCTGCCTGCGTCTTCCCAATGTCCCTGTGCAGCTCGTGATTAGCGCGGTGCCTGGAGTGCACCTGAGCTCTGCGCCCTGGGTCTCTGCTCATGGAAAGGCATCTGGCTCATGCCYGGGGCTTCAGTGTATAAATTACAGATCTCGACGAGAGCCAAGTGACTTAGAAGGGAGGAAAAAAATGAAAACAAAGTGAAGTCAGCTTCAAATACAGTTAAAGGTCCGGGCAGAGCCAAGCAGGGTGGAAGCGGGTTGAATTTAGGTGTGTGTTTGATGTCCCGAGCGCGAGCTCCCCGCGCGCCTCCCACCAGGATGCTGTGTGCTTAGGCTAAGCAGCACAAGGTTCCTGGAGCTCAAGCCGTGCAGCTATTCAAGGTGAGGATTGCTAAGCTGGTAAATGAATGAGACAGACAGGTGCAATGCTGAGCCGACAAATGCCCTTCCCACAGAGGGTCAAGAAACAAGAAGGGGAAGGCTTGAATTGTTGATTTTCCAAAGAAACGTCATTTCCCTGTGATGAGCCTTAAAAATGCACCTCTGAAGGCAGCGGCGAGTCACGAGTCCCTAAGGCGACCGGTTATCTAGGAGCTCTTCCAAGCGACCCTGAGCACGGATCCTTTGGCTTTGGAAAAGCCCAGCTGAGGTTGAGGTGACAGAGGGCAGCGTCCCTCCGCTGTCACAGGCTGCCGCGGTGGCCTTGGTCAAGGCACAAACAGCAGTTTTCCCTGCAGAATCAGCATGCGTTCGCTGCAGCTGGCACACAGCCCTCGAGTGCCCTCGGCGCTTATAGAGACAATTGTCTTGCAAGTTTGTTTGTTTGTTTGTTTTCTAAGTATAGGCCCCGTGGTTTGTGCAGCTTTGGGATGTCCTTCCTCCTTGCAGCCTCATGGTCGGGTTGTGTCACTAGCATTTACATGGAGTCGTGCTCTTCCAAACTGGTTGTAGCTGTGCTGTTAGCATGCTGTACAGCCAGGTTTCCAGTGGTGCCAATCAGTTGTGCTCTTTCCGAAATATCTGCACAGCTGGGTTTGCACAGGAATGCTCAAATAGTAAGAGAATGACTGAATTACAGTAAGGTGTTAAAGTCTATGGAATACCCTGTCTGAGCATTTCATCCTCAGCTCTTGTCCTGTCTCCTCAAAGCCAAAATGAGATGAAAAGATCCACTAACAGGTAATAGAAACAGGCAGAGGAATTTGGAAAAGAGCTTGGCCGAAGGCGAGACTGTGTGATAGGAGGGTTGGGCTGGAGAAGGAGCACTGCCCTTTTGCTGCTGTTTACTTCTCCCTCCAATAAAACAACCGCAGGATCCTGAACACTGCTCAGCCACAAATGTGTGAGCGTAGGTCTGTGCCTACACGCGTCTCCGGGGGACTTGAAATAATCTGTGTGTRAAAGATTGCACTGAGCACATCCGAACGGTCCTGGATTTATGATCTTACCTCTTCAAGGCAGTATTTCTGCCCGACGTTTGTGTTTGGCAGAAGCTGAGTGGTTCTAAGCAGTAACAGAGGAGGAAGAGCATCCATGGGCTTTCCAGCAGCACCCATGGGTCCCTGCACCTCCGCATCCAGCTCCCAGCAGGGAGACGTTTCCTCCCGCGCTGAGCGGGGTCGGACGGTCCCCTGGAAGCAGCGGGGTGGCGCGGGGTGCGGTAGACCTGCTGTCCGCGCGGGGATGGCTGCTCCTGTCAGCTTTCTAAAAAGGTGCTAACATGAAAAACATGCAGAACAGATAAGCTGGCATAAACTATAAATATCATCTGCGTAGATGCTTTTAAAAATAGTTGCAAGTGATTCATCGCCAGGCAGTTTTTATAAGTATGAAACATGATGTAGGAAAACAATAGTTTGACTGATAGTTTCAAGTTACTCTCTCAATAGCTAGTCATGTTCTTGTTTTGAGCATTTTCACCTTTCAGCAAGATCTCTTACAAATCCCGTCTGCTCAATATTTTGATAAGTTTGCTTCAGTTACTCTTCTTTTAGACTTCCAAAATTTCTGCATTAATAATGAAAAATAGTTGAATACTGGCTGGGTTGTGTTATTATGAAATTGTTTTAAAAGTAAAACCTGAGCCAAGAGGTAAAAAAAGAAGTATTAAACTCTTTCTGCAATGAAGAAAAGTTCATTTTATAGTGGAAAAAAAAGAAGGGAGGAATGTACTTGTTTTAATCGTAGAGGAAAGTAATTGGTGGAGTGATAACAAGGATTTCTGCTTGTGTTGTTTCATCTCCTGGAGCTTGCAATTTAGGAGCAGTTTAGYCCTATCAATTTAAAAGCCATCAATTGCCTCTTGCTGAGAAATGTCTGTGGTGGCAATAAATCCTGGGAATTAGGAGCACGGCAAAATCTGTCCGTRGAGGAAGCCTGGAGATCTGGTTTGTCGTGTACCAGGAGGCATCTCCTGGCTCCGGGAACCACCGATAATTCTCCTGGTGGCTCCATGTGAAAAAGACGGAAAACCAAGGAGGTGCAAGAGAGGGAGGAGGAGAACAGCGGGGAGGCCTCTGCACGAGCACCCTTCCCAATATGCTTCCTCAGGCCGTGATTTCATCATTATTAATTTCTAATAATTTAATTGTCGGCCCCGTGCGGTTTGCGCTGCTGTCCCACTCGCTCCTTGCCCGTGGTGCTTTTGYGCTGGGGGCTGCAATGAGGGCCGGCAGCTCTGTTTAAGCTCTGGCTGGATTTATGGCTGATTAAAGTGTGACCGTAAAGCCACAGGCTAATTAGATTGGCAAATATTTGAAACTCACTGAAAACACACTTGGCCAGTGATCCATCCAGACTGGTTTCTGCAAATTGCTCGTTCCCGGCTGCTCCTGTATTCATTCAGTGGCCAACAGGACTGATATTTGGGTGTTCTTTTCCAAATATTTGTTACAGGCTGTTTTGGCTATGTGAATTATTTGATTACAGCAATTTCCAGTGCTACTCCCTCCGTTAGCTGAAGGCCCTCAGGAAGAACCTCACCTTCCTCCCTGCTAGGCTCCAGGATCCAACCTGTCCCAGGCTTAAGCTAAGGAGACTTTATTTTCCGGTGCATTTTTCAGATTTAAAGAGATTGGATTTTACATGATTTGCTTCTGAAAAATCCCACCCAGCATTTGCACAGCAGTGATTAGGGAGCACCCTGTTTCTTAACGTCCCTTCCCCATGCATTGCTCTTTGCACAGTAGACATCTCTGCAGGATGGACGTCCTGCTCAGCAATAACTTGCTCTTCACTACTGCTCCYCTCGCGCCAGGCATGAGCTCACGGTCCTAACTGTGAGACAAAGCCGCACTCATTTCCATGGGTGAAAAGCCTGTAGTGTTTATTTTTATATATATACAACCAGTTCCAAGGAAAGATCAAATAAAGTAGATAGGTCATGCAGAAGAAACTCCTCATTAAGTGCCCCGTCATTGCCAGAGCAACGGGGAAGACGCAGCTTCACCTTCCATTAACGTTACCAGGACACGTGAGTATCCATCTCCTCATTTTCCTGTAAAGATCTCAAGAAAACATCAGTTAAATGTCAAAGTTGGTTTCCATTTATAAACAGAACTAATTATATTCAGAAGATCTAGGTCACTTTTCATCCGGCTGAAGAGCCGTGCTGGAGTATTGCCCTGTTTTATTTGTTTTGAGAACGTGCCCTGCATATTGCACGCTGCAGTTGATGTATTTCTGGGGGTAATCTGCCTAGATATCGGACTTGATGGTTCTTTAAAGCTGCTAAGAGCAAGAGCAGAGCTCCTGTGTGGGSCTTCCGCGCGGGAGGTGCTGGGGGCGCCGGGCTGCCTGCTCCCTGTCTGCCTGGCAGGACCTTCCACCCGCTCTCCCGCGCGTCTCCTGCTTTGGGAAGTGACCCGCTCTTGCCAGGGAATATTTTTGCAAGGCTAAAATGTGCTTAAGGACTGTGTTATGTAACAGAGATAGCGCTTATTGGAACGGGCACAAATTATGATTTATGGTATCTGCTGAAAACTTGTCTAGAGAAAGTTAAAATGTCATATGCAGAAACTGAGAAGTAAACAGGTCTTGTTACTTTGATCAAATATGTTGCTGCATAGAGCTGGAGTTTTATATTTAGCTTTCTCCCCCGTTAGTGTAATCTGCTCTCAGAACCCTTTACGAGTAGACTTTCCTCAGATCTGGAACTGTTACTTCCCTTCTTCGCCAGTAGTTTCCAAGTCAAATATCCCAAGCACTAGGTAATGGGAGACGTGCTTTTGTCTGAGCCGGGAGGAAATTCGCATGTATTGCAAGGGTGGAGCAAGTGATAGCACCTCCTTGGCAAGCAGGCCCTTGTTATTATCACAGGCTGTTTGATTATCCGAGCGGCCCAGCTCACGGAACAAGTTTCCGGACTTCCACCCATTTCACTTAAACATAAGGAGGTGGTTCCCCCGGGAGCCAGTTTATCCCGCGGTCTCGCTTGCCCTCTTATCTCCAGCTGCAGCCAGGCCCCGCTGCAGTCCCCATGAGCCTCTCCAGATGCCCCGGTGCATCGAGCAATATGGGCTTTGTTTCCTTATCTCTTTGGAAATGCAGGATTGGGCTGCTTAGCAGAAGCCCCTGCTCCATGTAAACACTTCTCTGAGTTTTTCATATTGCCAAATGCTTCTTTTTGGTACAGAACTGGTTTGGTTCCCAGTCTGCTCTTCATATGACCCATCCCCTGGGGGACAATGCTTGGCTTCAAGTGCTGTTGCAGCCACGTTGCGAGACTCTCTGCTCCCCGATCCAGCAGACATTGAGTTATTTCAGTTTCAAATTGCTCAAGTTTTTTTCTTGTAATAAGTTGCTTTTGACATTCGTTGCACAGTATCTTCTCTGCAGCTTCTGTTTTTSTCTGGTGTTGCTAAATGGTGGGGCCAAGCAGATGAGGAAATGGATTTCCTCTTCCAGGAGGGCGAGTAACTCTATGTGCTGACGCTTAGTTTTACCCAGCTGGTACTACACAAGTCGTAAAGCCATGAATTGGGGCTGGACATTCTTAAAATTTTTGGTAGAGATTGATGGCTTTGGCTGCCRCATCTCTGCTACAACCAAGGATATGACTTGGGGTGCAGATCAGCATCTGTGTTCAGATCACGTAAAGTGCAGGCACAGGGGAGTCCATCCTTTCGGCTGGTGAATTGAAAGGAGAGGGTAAAACTTACCGATTAACTTGCTGATTCCTGATGATTTCATGGAAAGAGCAGGCACCTCGTTTCTTAGCTTCCAGGAACACAGAAGGTGTGAGCAAACCTGGATGCCCAAGCCCTTGGGTCTTTGCTGGACTGGCCAGTAATAGGCCAGTATTCTTAGGATACAAAGAATTTAGTTGTGGCCTTTCAAACATTAACATCAATGATGCCTTCTTAAAATCCAGATCRTATGCAGTGATGTCCGACACCAAGTTCTTTGCAGAGAAATTCTCCCTTTGCAGAGAACTTGGTGGGCACGAGGATAGCAGAGGTTGGTGAAAGCTCCTTGCCACGTTGCTGTGTGGAAGTGCTGAACACAGCACAGTTGAAGGGCTGTAATGGAGCGGCCCTCTTCATGCCAGGGTAATTTGTCTACCCGGTTCTAGCTACAGGATCAAAGAGTCTGATAAAATGATGTTGCGTGTGCTGTATATTTTATGTTAATGAAGCTGGATATGCAGACAATGTAAGAAGGGCAGTGCAATAAAGAACTGCTGTGATTAATACTTGGGATTTCTTGTTTTTCATTCAAGCTGGCCTTTGCCGGAGTTCGACCCGAGCCAGATCCGACTGATCGTGTATCAGGACTGTGAAAGGAGAGGGCGCAACGTCTTGTTCGACTCCAGTGCTAAAAGAAAAATAGAGGATGTTTCGGTGTCGGTGAGTATTTTAACAATTTACATGCTTACGTTCTGTATGTTTTCTAAGATAGTGCTTGGTAGCTCACAAATTGCCTGCTTCATTCATATTAATATTTAAACTTTGATTATATTCAGGGGCAAATATAAGTGTGTATTAAATTGCAAACGATTCAAGCTTCAGTAATTTCACCCTAGCACTGTAAATATCATAGTGATGGTTAYTCCTGGGCTCTTCTACTTCCTGCCCTTTCAAAGGGGCTCCCCCCATGGCTGCGCGGGCAATGCCAGGAGGCAGTGCTGAGTTTGGTGTTCATTGAAAGGGGTTTGTGATGTGGCTGTTCTCTGCAGCAGGTCTGTTTTCTGGTTTGGAAAGTCTTCCTTGTCCCCTCTCCTACCTTGTCCTGCTTGCTCAGCTTTTAGCAGCTGTTGTTTCCAACTATTTACCAACTGCTGACCCAAAATTACTTGAAAACTTTTCTTTTAGGCTTTCCATTTGTCAGGTCTCTTTGTTAAGCTATTAATTGAACTCACAATGGATGCAGCTGGATGAGGATATTTCCAAGCAGGGACTCTGGCCACAAGGTCTCATTTCTAGCCACAGTGCTGCTATAAGTGGTTCTGTGAGCTTGGACACTTTAACTGCTTTGAACTTCCTTTTCACCATCTCTAGAAACACTTGCAATGTGGTTCAGCTCTCCAAGCAGAAAGCACTGTGTAARCTGAAACTTGGGATCCCAGTCGCTTTTTCCCATAGAACTGCATGAAGTCCTGTAGGTAGGAGTACACAAGATAGCATTTTACCTCGAGTCCTGATTTTCAYGTTGGATATTGGAGGACAGCCAGCAGATCTTCATCCAGCGTTGAACACTCTCCAGCCTGGTGCTGAATGCTGCCAGCCTGGTGCTTCTCACCCTGATCCTCAATGCTCCCCCCTGCCACATATCTGTCTGCTGCGAGCCGATCTGTGGGTCATGGGCACTGACTTGCAGGATCTTCTGTAGCTTCCATAGCACATTTGCAGACACAAATCCCATTTTCCTTGTTCTTTTGAGAATTTGGAAGGTGCATCTTTCTTTTTAAATTTAACTTGTTAACATGGCTTTATTAATTCGTAAGTTTCTATTCCTGTCGATGTTCAGATGTTCTTGCCAGGAAAACAGAGATTGTTATAGGCAATAGGTCTTTGAAGAGGTTGTTCATATGAGTTATTGGCATTGCTCATTACTATTACTTTATTAATAGATAAATCTTTGTACACTGTGTATACTTGTATTGATTTCCTGAAGGCTTAAGCCTCTGTAAGATAGATCTGTATTTGCGGAATGAATCACAGGATCACAGAATGGTTGAGGTTGAAAGGGACCTCTAGAGATCATCTAGTCCCTGCTCCTGCAGGGACACCCAGAGCACTGGGACCCTTACAGTAAGGAAGTTCTTYCTCATATGAAGATKGAACTGCCTGGGTTCCAATTTGTACCCATAATTTGCAGGCTCCTCTGCTTGGGTTTATTTCAGAAAGGTAGTTGACTGTGACAGCTTATTAGCAGCAGAATAAATGGCTGATAATKAATCTACTACGGTTCCATATTAAACACTTTATTTTTCTTAATTAAAGGGGAAGGTGGGTGGTGAGTAATACCTGGCTGCATTCACTGTTCCTATGAGATGAATRTGTGAGGCTGCTGGAGGAAGACTGGCTGGTCCCAGACTAGTTGTAATGCTCTGTATGTAGTCTGTTAACTTTATGTATTCATATATATGTATATATATATATAATATATATGTCATATTATCAGACTTTGAAAAAGTACACTTTGAAATATTTCCCTGCCATGATATCCACCTTCTGCAGCACTCAGATACTTTCCTCATAAAATAATAATAAATAAATAACCTCCCTCTTTGCAACAGCAGAAACTTTGTGCAGGTAAAAACGTGCACGAGAGTCTTGGGCTGAGCTTGCTGCAAGCTCAGTACAGGCTTGCACAGTTAGCAGTACATACTGGCCATTTTCAAGGAATTGCATTGTTTATTTTTCTCGCTCTTTATCATGATTTTCATTAACAAAGACACACCCAGCCTATACAAAGCCAGATCTTGGCTCTAAGCACATTCCAAGGCACTCTTGCCCTTTGCAGCGAGACGTGTGTGGGCTGGGTGCTCTCCCTCGTGAAAGGGTATCTGTTAACAGCCTCACAAAAGCCAATGCTTTCTGCATCTCAGCCCCCAGTTTCCTAACGTGATTTATACCTCGGAGTTTATAAATAGTCTGAGGGTGATATCTGCAGAAATGCCAAGCGGTGGCTCTGGCTGCTCCCATCAAGTCCGGCAGCTTGATGCAGGGAAGCTGCACGCAAGGTGCCACTTTTTGGAGCTTGCTGGCTGTGCAGCAGCTCTTGGTTTCCGAGAAGTGCAGTGAAACGGTTTCATTGAAAGCCATCATAATTTGCGAGTCATATGCCTGAAGTAATGTGAGATACACTTTGCTCTGCTCTGTGTATCTGTAATCTCAGTGTATGTCAAGAGTTGTGTGCAGCGGACCAAGGCCGAATATGACTCAGCCATTCAAATTCCCTCACTGGCAGTATTTAAGGTGCATCAGAGGAAACTTTTCCCGAGACACGTTTCAGGATGTGAAGTGATGGGTTTTCACGTTCTGATGGAYGAAAAGCGCTGAGCAGGGAGCTGGCCGGGGGTGTGCAGGCGGCTCCTGGCCCCTGGGAGCGCCCGGACATGGGACACCGTGCRGTCCCAGCCCCTGCAGGGCCTCTCTCCTCAGCCCCGTGACTCTGACTCGGTGTCRTGAGCGAACGCCTCGGGAGAGGCGGCCGCATGGGAGGAGGTGCGGGCAGCCGGCGGGAGCGGCCCCAGGGCTCACGCCTTCACCAAACAGCCCCGCTCCGCACCCAAACACACCTCTCTCCTGGGCTTTCCTCGCTTTCTGCCATCTTCAGAATCACCGTGGTGGGAAAAGGCCTTTGAGATGATGGAGTCCAACCGTGAGCCCCTTGACACCATCCTGCTAAACCGTGTCCSTAGGCGACTCATCTGCACAACTRCCAGGGATGAGGGCTCCACTGCATCCCTGGGCAGCCTGTGCCAATGCTTGACTGCTCTTCATGTGTAGAAATTTTTCCTAATATCCAACCTGAGCCTTCCCCCCTGTAACTTGAGGCCTTGAAGTCCTTTTGCTGGCGAGCACGTGTCCGGGATCCGCAGTCTCCTCTGGAGAACTGCCCTGCTGGGCCCTCGCGCAGACGAGCGCCGCGTTCCTGAGGGCTCCACATCGCTGGCTTCACAGGGGACGGTGCCGAGGCCCGTGCCCGCTTTGGGCACGTAGACTCATGTCTCATGCCTCTCTCTGCTCTTCCTGCAGCACCTCCCCAGCTGCTTCAGCTCGCCCGTAGCCACCAGCTCCCCTGGGACGTGGCTCCCGTGAGCGCACCAGGCCCGGGCAGGCCCACCTGGGCAGTACGTCCTCTTGCCGGGTCATACCAAGCATTGGGGACAGGAGGCGGTRCCGGCTGCTCCTTGGAGATCCAGGCCTGCCCTGAGCCCCCCACCAAGCGTGACGGGCGGCCCCGCTCCCCTCCCGAGGCGGCCCGGCCCTGCTGAGCGTGGCGCTTGGCTTCTCAACCTCAACGATGCGCCCTCCGAGCCAGGCCGCCCGGCGGCACCGACGTGAGGACGGGAATGTCACCAGGCAAAGACCACTTGAAATGGAGGTGTCTGCCTCGAGGGGCTGGGAACAAACGGGGTGAGGAAGGTGCAGGAATGGGATGAGGATCCACGAGGGAGAAGCGAGGAGTTGAGTGAGGAAGAAGCCGGAGGGGAACCGTGCACCAGTGCTCTGCTGCGAGCAGATGAATGAGCCTGTTGTTGGTGGTTTGGGGTATTTTTAGCTGCTAGTTTAGCTATTTATTTTCTTCTGGTGTTGTCTGTTGGTGGTTTGYGCCACGAGTATTCACCCTGAGAGACCTGAGCGGAGGGAGGTGCTGGGCGGCCTGAAGAAGCTGGGAGGTTTCAGGCTCTGCAGGTYAGTGCAGAGGAAGATGTGGAGCAGGTGGCGAAGGAGAAGTGTGAGGGGACCAAGGAAAAGCCTAAGAGCAGGGAGGAAGACGAGTAAGAGCCCGGCGGGACTGATGCCGAGCCGGGATTGCCAGCCCACACAGTGAGGCGGCGAGCGGGAAAAGCCAAGGGTGAAAGGGGGAAGTGACTCCTTTCCATGAGGCACAGGAGGATTTCCAGAAGCAGTTTTTCTGGAAGAAACGAAAGAGAGAGGGATTTTTGAAAGGGGGTGGAGAAAAAAAGCTTCCATAGCCCAACCAAGGGAGTGGAGATGCCGAGGTGCAGGGTTTGAGCCGAAGGGTGCAACCTTAAAACAAAGAATGAGCTTGGATTCGGGCAGCAAGAAGCTAAATTTTGCAAAGTCACCTTAATTTGGGACAGTTTAACTGAAAGGTCATATGATATTTGATCTGCTATTGTGGCAATTTCTTTGACTCCCCCTGTCTCACTTATCCTAAAGCATTAAGTTGGCATGCTGTTTTAAACGAGCCAGCGCTAGTCCTGTGTCCCGTGCACTGCAGCACTGGATAAATGTTGAGCAGTAAATTGCTGGGCGGATTAGTAATGGGATAGGGAGCCTTTTGCCTTTGGGTGACTCGTGTGTGTTGGAGCCCATGGTCTCTCGGTGGACAAGGTTTCCCGAGAGCCAAGGGGATGGATAAAGAAGCCGGTGACGAGCAGCATGGAGATGGAGTCCTACCTTCTCAGCTCTGCTCTTGCTCTCTGAAGAGCAGTGGCAGGATAACAGCAGCGTAGCAGAGAAGTGTCTTTGCTCCTTTCATTGAACTATGAATAGTAGAGGAACTTGACAGCTCTGGAAATGAAGTGAAATCGTAGCACTAGTGACAGCTATCTCTTAAAAAAGATACCTGGGTTCTGCTGTGCCACTCGAGGGAGAGGGAGGAACGCCGGGGCAAGCAATCCCCGTGTCCTAGGCAGAGGCGTATTTAATTACGCGTTCAGACCAACGTCGTATTTATAAAGCACAGGAGTAAGTTTATCTATTCTGGCAGAGTTTTTCAGCTATGTGAAGCCCCCCTTGCTGACTGGCCCGTTTCAGCAGCGAGATCCAGAGCTCCTGGGGGACAGCAACTGTGTTTTGATACAGAGGCTTCGCTGTCACCTTTGAGCACCTGCTGCTAAAGGGAGGTAAAGAAGAGTAAAGCACATGATGACAGTTGTCYCCTGTGCTGTCACCGCAGCCCCTAACACACATGCACGCCGTCTGGATGTAGTTCAACACCCCAGGCTCCTCTCAGCTGTCTAGGACACTCTCGCTGTCCCCGAAGCACAACTTGCGCACTAGAAATTCCTCCTCCAACCTCTAGTGCTCAGTGCGGTGCCTGTGCCTTCCTGGTAAGGATCTTAGAGCCACAACCATGTGCCTTTTGGGGTTCAACAGCACTACTGTTGTGGTGCTGTGTTGCAGTGAGTGCATTTGGAAGGAAAATCCCCAGTTCTGAATCTCCATTGCACAGCTTTCAAATAATTTGGTCACCTTTTTGTTTCTGGAAACCTGGCTTGGGTATGTTTGGAATATTATCCTGGAATCAAGTCACCCCACTCCTTTGTTGCCTCGTGTCTTGAGGCTTGGTGCACCTAAAATTACCTTGGCGTTCGGAGGCAGGAGTTACCGAGGAAGGGGGTATTGCACACACTCCGTCAAATACTCCAACGGGTTCTTCTTAAGAACACATGTAGCTTTAGAAAGAGCAAACACCCCGATTTGTCAGTGTCCCGCAYTTTAGGGATGATTTACTGTTTGCAAGGTTCGGACAGGTGGTATTGGAAAGGTCCTGAACATCTGACCTCTTGGTTCAGTAAATTCCCCTGCAAAGACCTAACAAGAATGTGCCTCTGGTTTTTAAATTAGACTACTATGACTTCAAGCCATCTTGCAGTGGGCTTAAGGTAAGTTTCTATGGAGAAAAATGCAGCACCGCTGACAAGAGATTACCAAAAAGTCAATAATTTGCAAACTTAGCTTCTTTTTCATGCATAGAATTTTTTTTCTTCACCCACAGAAATCCATTTAATGGCCTCGCAATCTCAAGTGAGCTTAATTAAAGCAGTATCTTTTTAAAGGAACTTTCAACATCCGATGGAAAATGCAAGCTGAAATGCGGTTCGCCTGCAAAAGCTTCTGTAACCCTGTGGATTTTATGTGGTTTTATCACATGATGCTTGCCTAGCCTAGGACATTGTTGTTTGTGTCAGAGATAAAATGCAATTCTGGTTCACGAGTTCCTACTGAAGTCATATGATTATCATTCACATGCTCCAGCCATTGTGTACTGTGCTCCAGCGCCGGCTATTAGCCATTAACGAAGCCGCGCGTGGCCGGAGTTCAGCGTCCTCGCCGGGCTGTCGCGCTGGGAGGGTCCCACGGCGCACACGTAGCTCGGGCACAGCACGCGGAGGCTGCTGCACGTTGCCTCTCCCCTCTGCCACGGAATTACTGACTTGTCTGCACATTTTCCCCGGAGGGTTTCGGCGGCGGCCGCCCTCTAATCGGAGCAGCAGTGCGAGCCGCCGCGTGGAGCTAGATAATCCCTGACGTTTTCTGCTGCTTCCCTAGCTCTCGCCCACTGCTAGGGCCAGAGGAAAGCCACCTGGTATCCAAGGTGTTCACATTTTCTTTTCACAAAGAAAAGCAACCGGCACAGCCAAGGCTGGAGATGTGGGATTCCCAACTTGCTCCTCAGCAGAGGAGGGCACGCGGGCTGTCATCTTCTCTCCCCAAAGTGGGGTTGGTGGTGCAGGAAGCAGGAGCACATCTGCTGAGGTCTTYGCTGCATGGCTTGAGTAGGGATTTTTTCTCATCCTGCAAAATACGCAGTTGCTGCTGGCTCTGTTGCGCAGCCATGAGGTTAACAGCCTGTTGAAGTGCATGGGGATTGCACACCTTTCCTGTTCCACCTTYTCCTTTTCTCTGGAGCTAGTAAGGATTGAGCCATCCTTGCGTTTTTGAATGAAGTGAGAGCTTGTGGTGCAACCCCGCGAGCTCAGAGGCGAAGCCGGGACACGCGGCACCTTTGCATTTCCCTGCAGCCCCTGGCTCTGCTTCCCGCACGCTCTGCTTCCAGGCTGCTCTTGCGGTTAGGTGATTGCAGAGGAAATGTTAATTGCAGAAGTCCTAGGGCCTACTTAGTGAGTGACTTTGAGCATGTAGGCACGCTTCTGTCTCTGAATGCTGCCCACCAGCAAAGGCAATGCTGTCAGCCTGATACCTGTGCTCTGAAGTGCAGCGGGTACGCAGAGTGCTCTGAGGTTAATGGCATTAGCAAACGTGTGCTGGCTCTCTGGTGCATCTGGGATTTGCAGGGGAAATCATATATGCCTTTAAATACTATATAGAGCTGTGGCAAAGATCTCTAGTGCTAGTGACGGGGAATGTTGTGTGTGCAGCCCTGCAAAGGTCCAAATGGTTCTGCACTTCCAGTTCTCCATCTCAGCCTTGTTTTCTCCTTACTCCCTTTTTTGCAGCTCTTTGCCTGAAACTCGTATCAGGAAGGGACCAGTCCTGCTTGGAGCTTCTTTCCCCTGCCCCTGGGGRAAACTTTCCTCGCTTCTCCTGCCACCAACTGCGTTTGCAGCTTTGTCCTTGTGCAGTCTCATGATGCATTCCTATTAGAAAGGGAAAATGTCACCTCTGCGCCACACTTCCAAGAGACCTGAGGATTTAGACACAGCTAGAGGAGATCTGTAAAAATAACGACATTTCTCCCCACCTCTCCCCATAACAACAGCCTGTTCCGAATTCTCTTGCAGGGTTGTTCCTTATCCGGCTGCGGCGCGGCTGGCACCACTCTGCAAACTCTGCCCTACTGGGCACCCTGCGCCGTGCACAGGTGGCACCTCGTCCCACCCTCCCGCCCTGCCATCCTGTGCCCTAATCCCAGGCCTAAAACTGAGCCTCACAAAGCTCCCGAGGCGGGCGGCTCCTTAGGGAGATGGAGCTAGAGTGACCTGGTAGCTCCTCGCTAAAACCCAGCCACAGGAGACTGGTAAATACAGTTAACCCTTCTCTGGAGGGACAGGCTTTTCCACTGCTTAATGTRTTAGGTAAAGAGGAAAGTGCAGCACTGCTAAGTGGTGATTTTGTGGCTGCGGGTCCTCATGTCAGCACACGTGTTGTCTGTGTTTCAGAAACTCTGCAGTGATGCTCAGGTGAGAGTTTTCGGGAAGTGTTGCCAGCTGAAGCCCGGAGGAGATAGCTCTTCTTCCCTGGATAGCTCAATCAACTCGTCATCCTCCTTCTCTGATGCAAAAGAGCAATGTCCAAAATACCAGGTGAGTCACGTTTCTTTTTCCTTTTTTTGCCTTTACCCTGTCAAATCCTTGTGGTAGGTGAGGTGTTGAACATTGTAAAACGCTTGAAATTAGGGGTGGGCTGTGTAGAATTTTGAGTGAGAATTAGACTTTGGTTCCGACTGAATAATATTTTAATCCTATGGCTTGGGGTCTGAACAACCCTAAAACCAACTGACTGTTTCTCTCAGATGTGTCCTGAATGGCAGGCGTTTCTCTAGGCCATTGTCAAGTCTTGGCCATGGGGATGGTGCTTCTGCACCATGGCCAACCTTGGGCACAACGCTGGGCAGTCTCAAAGAAATTCTTCTTTCACAGAAGCCCTAAGCCTTCAGTTATTCCCTTTCTTAGGAACCAAGACAAATATCCGCACATGGTCTAGATAAAGTAAGTTATTGTGGAGTGCCAGGGAAGCGATACAGAAATGCACTACCTAGCCCGACAGCGTGGGATTCAGTGAACCTGGGCTATGTTTTACATAAGAGATTTTGGCCATGAGAGGAGCTGGAGTCATCTGACACAGATGTATTTCTGTCATCTCTCCTTCCATGGATCACAAGTGTTTTATATTAAGCCAGCCTAAAATAGAAGTAAGCCCTTGCACTCTTTGTAATGAAGTAATTGTGTGTTTGAGGGAAGCTGCTATGTGCACAGCATAGTCTGGAGGACAGTCCTCCTGATGTCTTCATCTGCCGCAGGCAGAAATGCAGGACCTTTAAGGCTGCCTTTGCCACCGTCACGTTAGCTGTCGCTGTGCTGGGTGAGCTGCACGTTCTTGTTTTCTGTTTCTCGTCACGCTCCTTGCCSTGCTGTTAGCAAGGAGGCAGCAGCTCGTTTTTCTATTCCTCCCTTCCTGGAAGGGTGCTGGGCTGCGGTTACGAGAGGAAGAGACGTGTAATTTCTGTGAGCGTCTTCCTTCCAGCACAGAACAGCCTCCTCCGGGCGCTGTGCGGCCACGAAGAGCGATGTCCCTCCCGGAGCCAGCAACCACCGTCCCCGCGGGCCGGCGGGCGCGCTCGGCCCCATCAGCGTCAGCGGTGTCGTGGCTGGCGTGGCGACTCTCTCGCTATTCATTGTTTCAATGGCCATGACTATGACGGGTTGCTCTAGTTGCTCTATGAAAGATCATCCACGGGGTTTTCTTCCAGGCCTCCATGTGGCGTTTGCAATTATGTGCTCTCCAGAYCCCTCACAAATGGGATCAGAATCCATTAGGATGGAGCTGAGTCTGGTGCTGGAGCTGCCCGCAGTTACATTCATGCCAAGGCAGCAGTGTTACCGCTGGAGCCGCTGCCAGCCYGGCCAGGACTGTAAATCTTCTTCTCCAGGCCAACTGTTTGATCACGACGTTTGAGATTTATTCCTGTATTGCATTTTTAATTTAGATACGTACTTACTTATTGATGGGACAACATGTAAAGTAAGTGGGAGATTAATGCTATGAATTTTATATTCAGAAACATCATTTCCAAACCATGTAAATTTTACTACCTCTAATATGCTAATGTGCAATAACAAACACTCGTGGGTATTTTATGATCATTTTTTATGTGAGCTCATAAATATGACCTAGGGAGTTGGTTTGCATCCAAGCTGTCAGTGCCTGGGGTTTTGCCCTTTTTGCCAGATGCTCTTTGGCTATTTTTCGTTTGAGCTTTTAATTTTTAACCCCCTTCCTCAGTCGATTGCATTCCACTTTGGTCTTGAGTGACCTTTATTTTGTAGAATTAAAGGCTCAAAGAGCTGGACTGGAGCGTGTTTCCGTATCACGTATAGGCATCTGCTGTTATGTGTGGGGAAATCATTGCCATTAGGCGCTGGTGAAATGCCCGACTGAGAGCCCACGGCTGCATCTCCTCACCCGCTTTGTCTTCAGCCTTGCTCCTCTCTGCCTTTCACAGAGAAGGAAAACCCCTATAATTAAATTTGAAAGCAGCTGATTTTCACTTGTGTTTCTCTTTTTTTAATTCAGTTTCTTCTTGACAAGAAGAATGGATAATTTATTTTTAAGTATTTTTCTCCAGCTTTGGAATTAAATGTTCACAGTAGCAGAAAGTTGAAACCAAAACCAGCCATCAAGGGCTTGACATTTATTCAGAATGACTTCTTCAACTTGAGGTCTGCAACAGATTTAAAAATAATCATCATAATATTTGGCTGCAGCAATTTGCAGTGTTCTTAAATCGAGACTCTCACAGACCTATCTATCATTTCCTAGAGCCATTAACATCCCTACTCCGGTTTCCTTGGAGTTGCTGGGAATGAAGATGGGAATTTTTATGGGACTCGGCCAGAGAGCAGGTTTTGCCCTGTCATAGGAACACTAACAAAACTTGGGTTGATATCCTCCTTTCTGTAACTGTGGCTGCTGCTTCTCTTCATGCCCTCTTCATTCGTGTTTTTGCTTCTCTTCATTTCTCTTCATTTGTTTCTGCTTCTCTTCATGCCCCATGTTTTTGGTGCTGGCAGCAGGTTCTGGGGGTGACGGGGTCTGCTAAACTATTCCCGTCTGACCKGGGAGTGCTGGGGAAGAGCTAAAACCCGAGCTGTCTTAGGAGCATGTGGCCTCCTAGGGAACCAGCGTTGGCTTCTTCTTGCCATGGGCCAGCAACCGTTCCGTACCTGCTTCCCGCTGGGAATGTGTGGTGTGGACACCCTGTCCTTGGCCRGCTCTGAGCTCGCAGTGTGACACCAGGCAAGCACTTCGATACTTTCCCAGCCTATCCAGGAATCCGGGTGAGGAGCCTGGCTGCTGCCGCCTGCACACGGCAGGTGAGGATCCGGGAGGTCCAGGCTCCAGCAGCCATCCAGGGGATCTGGCGCTTTCCGCACGGAGGGATATTTCCATGGGCAAGTGGCGGCGCTCCCAGGCCCAGCACAAGAGCAGCAGGGCAAGCAGAGCCACGAGCCAGGCCCCRTCTGTGCCACGAAGGTCCGATGTGGCCACCAGCAGCTCGACGTGGWCTTGCCCTTCTTGTTTCCATGTCTCTACTCAAGCAGACCATACTGCTTCGGCTCAGGGCTTCTTGGTCAGGAGCGCGTGTGATCGGCCGCGAGCGTTCAACCTTCTGGTCCTGCTGACTCGGTGCCCTTTACATCTGCAGCTCCCCAGGACGTGGCTTGGATTTGTTGGATGACTTCAGTATTTAGTTCACAGCCAATTGTGCACTACTACTTTTATTGAAGCATTTAACTTAGTAATATAAACAGTGTTAAAGAGAGTGAGCTTTTTTTTATCTTTATAAAAAAAAAATTCTTTTATTATATATTGCCTTAAATAGAAATGTGCTTCTAAAACGCTTCACACAGACATTATTTTTTTTCCCTCTCTCCCCAGGGYTCTCGGTGCTCCTCTGATGCTAATATGCTTGGAGAGATGATGTTTGGCTCTGTGGCCATGAGTTACAAGGGCTCCACGTTGAAAATTCACCAGATTCGGTAAGATTCATTTTCCCTGCTAATCTTTTAAGAAGATTGACTCCTTAGTGCTAATATGCCTTGAATTGAATGTGACAAGTGCAGAGTTAGAGGAATTTCTAGGTCTGCTTTATAGTTATTCTGACGTCACTTTTGACACAAAAAGTGTTTGTGTCATGTTTAGATCTGTAAAATGAGGATGCATGTGAAATGGAAATGAAAGCGTCTCTGGGCGCCGTGTTTCTGACTGGCATCTCCGTTTCTGGCCCCTAGCTCACCTCCTCAGCTCATGCTCAGCAAGGTTTTCACCGCTCGCACTGGAAGTAGCATCTATGGCAGTCTGAACACGTGAGTGCCTTGCAAGTGATACCTGGCAAATATGGGCAAATACGAATGCAGGAATGCAGAACATTATTTTGGGAGCTTCCAGACACCGTTTCTAGAAAAATAAGCTTTAGTTTCCTCCTCCATTATACCCTGTCACTGGTATCCTCACTTATTCCTCGTAGCCATCTTCCTATCGGATTGCTTTAGGTGAAAGAATGAACCTGTTGCTGCAGAGCTGGTAGGGTAGAGCCTGGTGCTGCAAGGCACAAAATACCTGCTCAGGGGACGGGATGGGGACCCACTGCTGCAGCTGGGGGCTTCGGCCCGAGATGATGGAAAAGACATTGCAAAAATTTCCATTTTTAGACTCTAATGTTCGGTTTTCTGTGTCTTAATCACCCTAGCTTAGCACATGGCCTAGGCTATGAAAGCTTCTTCCAGTGGAAGTCCAGCTTCTTTTTTTGTGTGTTCCACTGAGGCAAAAAAAAAAAAAAAAAAGAAGTACTGCAGTTTTATACAGAAATGCTAATTATTGAGTTTGTTGTGTGTTTTATTTTCTGGATTTTTCTTTTAGGCTGCAAGATAGTCTTGAGTTCATTAATCAAGACAGCAATACATTAAAGCCTGACCACAGTACAATTATGAATGGACTTCTTGGAAATATAGGTAATTACAAACAGATTTGATTTCCTGGTATCTGTAAGTGGGTAATCATGGACTGTAGAACATGAAAGTCATCTTCTAAACAGAATCAGATGGAAAGATAGGAGAACTAAAGACTCTGCAGCAAGTTAATGTTGGTAGGACTGGGAGGACTGTAAATCAGACAGTTCAGAGAATTAGCAGTGGCTCAGCATACACACACACACGTATCTARAAATACAGATAGATATATTTAAGTTCAAATACAGAAAATGTTGGAAGACAAGAGGCTGTCAAACTCTTTCGCACATCTCAAATCAGGCAGGACTGATTCTGCCTGGGTGTGTCTCAGTTTTCACTCTGATTCTTCCTTCTTTTTTGAAAAAAGAAAATGAAATAGAATTTTCTTGTGTCCCGTGCTCTCTGTTGGCCATGAACAGATGGCCACATGTTCCRTGCTTGTTAACCTTGCACCGTTGCGATTTAATTTTTGATTGGATTGGACAGAAGACCTATTTATTTATTTGGTCTGGTCTTGGAAATTAAGAGTACTTGAAAATCCACCTTGAATCTTAGCTGGGACTCAGCTGTCCAGGGCAGCACCCGATGAAGTCCTTTAAACCCTTCGTTTAGGCTGAATAATTTCCAATCAAATGTCTGTAATAATAGCTGGAATAAGAGTCTTCTATTTATATTTGCTTTCCAGAATATTACGGTACATGAAGTATGCTTTTTTTTTTTTTTTTTTTTACTACGGTTTGAAGAAGTGAATTTGATTACTTTGTTATTCTGAGTGGGTTTCTGGCTTTGATACGGTCCTCATTCTCCTTGGTCTAAACCTTTCCTTCTGTCCCGTTGGCGCTGATGAGACAGCACCGTGTTCCCAAGCTAAGTGTGGACTTCCCGGCCCCCCAAAGCTGTGTAACTGCTTAAACCCATCCCAACGGTTAAGCCATAAGGGAAGCCTAATCATACTGGAAACTACTGTAATCTGTTAACCCTTGCTGCCCTTACCAAGCCAAGGAAGTTAAAGCACTGCCTTTTCCTCCTTCATATTCCCTCTTCCCGCAGCCTGCAGCTGGGATTTCTCCCCATGCCTCGCTGAGTTAGGTGCCCAGATTTGTGCAGGAGAGGACAGAATTCCTTTACTTGTAAGGACTTTGCTGTGTGGCTGCCGTTTGCGCCCGACAGAGATTGGCTTGATGGCTGGTGTAACCTAAGCCGTGTGGACCACAGTGTGGATACGGCAGCGGGCGGRCAGGACCGCTGGCCACGGTCCAGGTGCCGGTGGATTCTCCCGTGGCTCTGTAGGGATGGGGAGTTTCCCCACACGCAGAAAAGGCGCCCGGGGATTTTTTCCATCCTGGGAATTCTACAAGCTGCTTTTTTCAGACGTGACCCCACTCGGAGCAGCTCCTTGGCCTGTTGTTTTCTCCTGGTGCCCCTAAGAGGAGCCCGTGGCCGCGTGTCCCTCCCCATGTGTGGCAGGGACGGGGCTCCCCGGCCACCCCGCCAGCGAGGACCTGCAAGCAGACATTGTGTCCCACCATGAATCCCCCGTTTGTGACCGAGCTGGGCTCGGAGCCTGCATAAATTAATCATTTTCATCTCCCTTTAAAAAAAAATAAAGAAAATAAAGCCGTTGGACAGAACCCCCAGCCTCGCACGCGAGACAAGGCGAAGCTGGCGCTGTTATGACTTGACGTCTCTCCACACGCCGTGTTTCAGGCGCGCGTGGCCGTGCTGGGCGCGCAGGGCTCGGCGGCGCCGGGCGGCCGTGCCGGCTCGCGCCGCTGCCGAGACCCCGCTGCTTTACTAACCTGCTCTCTCCTCTGTATTTCCCRTTTTGCCGTGTAGGTCTTTCGCAGCTTTGCAGCCCCAGGCGGGCGTTCTCTGAGCAAGGTCCGCTCCGCCTCATCCGGAGCGCCTCTTTCTTTGCAGGTTTGCACTGTGCTGTGTGCTGTGCTGTGTGCCTAGGCTGGCCGGGGTGGCGCCAGCGCAGCCCGGCAATAAGAGCAGTATTTGGTACACAAGGGCAGCRATGGCCACTTCCATTCCTGGTGGTAGGTCCCCAGAGGACACAGAAGCCTCAGTGGTCCCCTCTGGGGGAATATTTCCTCATGCTTAGCTTGGAAAACTATCATGTTTGACGATGGATTTCACATTTCTATTCACRTCTTACATTTATTTCAAATTTCACCTTTAATAATTCACTGTAGCATCAAGCTGTTTTAATCTGGGCTTACCTCAACCAAACCGAAAACTAAACATAGGCCAGGTTCATACATGAAGTGGACATTGCTGCTTTTTAATGGCTGTCTCTTATTTCCGTGGCTGAGTAGCTTTTATTTCACAGACATGTTTGCAAAATGTATCACGTTTAAGCCTGAGACACTTTTGATCTACTCTGTATGCAGCCTGTGAATCCGGAGAGTTTACAGCTTTGCTGAACACCCAATGCACTGCTTACAGTTTAAAAATATTTTTCCTTCAAATCATCTCTGTAAATTCCTTCTTTAAACTGCATAATAACTGCTAAGGTTGGTGCATAAATGCAGTCCTGTTTACATGGTTTTGGTGACTTTTGGAGGTCTCTACACAGATTGCTACCTATGTGGCATAAGCTCTTCCAGGACRTTACACATTTTCAATAAAATTTTCAAGAAATAATGAACATAAGACAAATTCAGTCTGTGCTCAAATGGATGTGCAGACTTCAGAAGAACCCATAAAGCTTTTCAAAGAAGTGTTTTGGCTTGTTCAGCTTAGCAGCCTTTCTTGGTGATGGCCTTGTGTGGTGCTGTTGATCTGAATTAATGAGCATGGTTTTGTTTCATTAATTACACGGAGATCTGCAAACAAGAAAGGACCTATATCTTTCCCTGCTAATTGGTATTCCTTGTTTTACAGTTCACAGCAACCCTATGGACATGCCTGGGAGGGAGCAGAGCGAGGACAGAGACAGCGGTATAGCGAGATCTGGTAAGGGCAGGTTCGTGTGTTAACCCTGTAGACTCAGAACGTTTCCAGCAATGTTCCCTGCATATCAGTCTGGTCAGTGAGCCCTCTGAAGCCCAGTCAGACAGTGTTGTGTGCAGCAGGGCTCGCTGCACCTCTGTGCAGTGACACACACCTGCATATGTGTGTACAGCGTCCCGGCTACCGCGGTTCTCCGTGGGGAACCTCGCGGAGCTCATCCCAACAGCACAGGCATCTAATCAAAGCAATTGCAAAGAGCAGTCACATTACACACTGAAATCCATCTGCAGTATTCCAAACAGTATCAGCATTTCAAACTCAGGCTGTAAATAGTGTTAAATGGTCAACTCTCCACCGCAATTTGGTGGATATTGGTCACTTACAGTGGTAAAGGTTTCTAAAGGATGTGATTAACGTTACTGCTTTCCACAAAGAATTTATTTCCCAATACACATGGTTGATGGAACAGAGCAAGGTGTARCGTGCACCGTGCCGGTGTTGCCTGTTGCATAAAGCTGCAGGACTGTCCCACCCTTGCAGTGCTTGTAGATCTTGTTAATGTTACTGTAAACTGGTTATTCTTAAGATAAGAAACCTAGATAAGCAAAAGAGAAGACAYTTGATTGGCAACAGCCAGATATCTCGAGGGGCTTTGTTTAATCACTGGTGTTATTTTCCARATAGTCTTTCTTCTGCAGAGAGTCTTACTGGTTGCTCTTGCTGTTGCAGCGTCTCTTAGCAGCCTGCTCATCACGCCCTTTCCGTCTCCGGGCTCCTCGTTCAACAAAAGCTGTGCGAGCAGCTACCAGCGGCGCTGGCGGCGCAGCCAGACCACCAGCCTGGAGAACGGCGTCTTCCCGCGATGGTGAGCCGGGCGGGAGTGGGCCGCTGCGTCCCGGCATTATCCCCCSCCGGCAGCTTCGTCTGCTCTTGTTACACACCTCTGTTCCTTTTCTGTGCAGTATTTATATACTGACTGCAGTTCAATGATTGATCTTTTTTAGCACCTGTTTCTTCATGGCATTTGTTGTTTTTCACTAATTAGAAAACCTTCAGCGAATTTTTTTACTCTAAGAATCTCTAAAATCCTGCTCAAAACACAAATATCTGGCAGAATTAGGAGAGAACTAGTATTTCATATTCTAATCCTACCAGTGCTTTGATTTTGTGATTGCAGGATCGATTAATGATCAATCAACTAATTAATTTCTAAGATGGATTTTAGCAAAGGCAAGGATTTGACAACAGCTGCAAACAAAAGATGTTCATTGATGTTAAATGTCCTAGAGCTTAATTACACAAGAAGCAAAGGTATCATTTTAAGCAATGGATTATGTTAACTTTCTCTTTTTCCCATGCTTCAAGGTCCATGGATGAAAGCTTCAATTTGTCAGATGACAGCTCTGGTCCTAGCCCAGGAATTGTTAGGAAAAAAAAGATAGCAATTGGAGTCATTTTTTCACTCTCAAGAGATGAAGATGAAAATAACAAATTTAATGAGTTCTTCTTCTCGCACTTCCCTCTTTTTGAGAGTCACATGAACAAACTGAAGAGTGCAATAGAACAGGTAAATGCTTTTTTTTTTTTTTTTTTTTTTTTTTGAATTTTTGCACTTGCAGGTTGCACTTGCATTGCTCTCCTGGTCCCTTTCAGGTTTCCCTTCTAACTCTTGCTGAAGACGAGACAGAGCTGCTCTCTGCTGCTGTTGCAGCTGCCCTAGGGAAGGGCTCTGGGCTCCAGCAGCCCTGGAGCAGCCGAGGTGCAAGGGTGCTTTTAAGGCCACCTTCACCTCCTTGTTTCAGCTGTATCTGAGTGGGCTGCAGGATCAGTTCCAAACTGTAAATAAATCCTGTGTTTTTCTCTTACTCCCTACCCCTCTGACTCAGATGTGTAGGATATTTTCAAAGATTGAATGAATGGTATCAAATGTGCAACTAGTTTTGCTTCAAATCCCTCTTCTAGGAAATACTTAGCAGTTAATTTGCCATTACAGTGAAAACTTTGACCTCTTTTATGCCTTGAGTGATTGAAAAGCACAGAAGAGATGGTCTGCAAACACGTCTGCCTCACCTATCTTTCCTCCGATATGAAAGCTGGCACTTGTACCATCGTTTATCACTTTAAAAAAAAACCTATTTGCGTGACTAGTTGCATGAAAGTCAAACACATGACTTTGTTTTCCATTTTTTGGTGCTTCTGTAGCTATGCCTGGTGTTACTTATCTGTTTAATGGTTGTTTTCAAGGCTATGAAAATGAGTCGCAGATCAGCTGATGCCAGTCAGCGGAGCTTGGCATATAACAGGATTGTTGATGCCCTGAATGAATTCAGGTGAGCAGTTCAACTCTGTCTCTCTTTTTTAATGTCTGCTTTTTCAAAAGCACTTGTGTCTGCTCTAGAGGGACCTTCTCCTTAGTGTAGCTTTCCTTGGCCTTCGGAGGTCTCATCTGAAATGGAAAATGGCTTTGCCCTTTTTATAAAATAGCTTATAATCTCTAATGTCTTCTGAAAAAGTAAGTATTAGCAAGTTACTGGCTGCTAACAAGTCCCTATAGCCTGTGTGTGTCATCCCTTGAAATTTTGACAAGTGTGTGGATCTGTGCAAGCCTGGGGTACATAGCGTGTGGGTAATCAAGGGTTTTTCTCCTGTGGATAGTAGTGAAGTTTCCAGCAACCTCCTAAATTGTTTTTTATGTCCCACTGAGATGGGAAAAGAGGAACTGCGAACAGATGGTTGAGAAACCCTGCTCCAGTGTGTATTTTCCTGGTGAAGCAAGACCTTTACTCTGCACTAAATTCTGAGCTGAAGGAATTTCAGATAAGCAGCTACTAAAAGGCAGGACTATCTTATTCACACAGAGAAGTGCAGCTCTGTAATCTCCCGCTATCAGCACCTGCAGAGCTGCCGCTATTCAACAGTTAATGCACAGGGCAATGCAGATCCCTGGCRTTAACTCTGTTTTCCTTCCATAGTTTAAGTAATGGGGAGGGGACTAAAGTGAGATCCCTTGCCTTCCAGGGATTCGTCCCCTCCTGATGGGAGGGGCAGGGTGATTCCCGAAGCCAGGGGAGAGCTGCCTTTGGAAGGCGTCCGAGAGGGCCACGCTGGGATGCTGTGAAGACTGGGGTGTCATGTAGAGGTGCCCTGACCGTGGGGCAGCTTTGTGGGACGAGGCCACCGCTTTCTGTAGCACAGAGCGGGCGCCGAGGCTGGGCTGCCGCTCGCCCCGCGGGGCCCTGCCAAGGCAGGAGGATGGAGGAGCCCCGAGCTCCGCGGGGAAGGGCCGTGCGGGGTGGCAGGAGAGCCACCCATCCTGTCCTCGGGCACGGCAGCAGGGCAGCCGGGAGGCCAGCGGGGCCTGGGGCTCCTGGGCTCCCCCGCTTCCCYGCCYGGCCCCGCGTAGCTCCGTCCTCCCGCCGCTCTCTCCAGGCCCTTTCCCGTCAGGACACACGCGGCAGACTTTGCCCCTTCTCCCGCAACCTTCCAAGTTAAACAGTCCCGGAGCGGTGGGAGGGGAGCGCGCTCCGAGGTGGCATTGGAGAAACCAGCCTGGGAGCGGCCGGCACGGCCGGCTGCCCCTCGCTGCCTCCCTCCTGCTCCTYGTCCCATGGGAATGCGGGCCCACGTGGTGGCAGCCAGGCCAGCAGCCCCGGCTCACGCGGCGGGGACACCGTGTGGGGCTTTGTGGCGGTGATGGGAATGCTGCTCTTTCATATTAGGTGAATCTAATCCCGTGGGGTTTAATATAAATTAAATTTCCTGGGGCGCACCTTTAGCTGATTCTGTTTATGGCCAGGTGTGTTACAGCATATACCGCAGTCTAATATACTTAATGTACCAAGTATATTAAGCAGATAAGGTAGTTGCCAGTCCACCTCTGCTGCTGATGCTGGGGTATCTCGGGGTGCTACCTGCTGCTTGTGAAAGCCCCTCTCTTTGGAAAGCAAAGTGCTGCAAAAGGAAAGAAAAAGCCCATTTAAATACTGAGGCTGGATGCAAAGATGCTTTGGCAGCGGTTCAGCAAACCCATTTAGGCCACTATTATCTCTTTAGGCGTCTGCCTCTCCGCTGGAGTCACGGGGAAGTCAGGAGGCTGAGTCCTTCGCTGAACCGGAGCCTCGCCTGCATTTCTCCCTGCTTAGCAAATTGCGCTRCAGGGAAGGAGGCTGCTGACTGCAGTGGGCTGGTGTTTCTGAAACACAACCTCGTGCTGCTTTAACTCCTTGCAGGCTTTTCTGGGAGGAGAAAACGCAAGCGGCCTCCTCAGTAGCAAAGCTGATTTTATCACATCTTTGTGCAGGGCAGGAGAGGCTGGTGGAGGCTCTGCGGGCRCGCTGGGCTCCGCTTTGCCCCGGCTGCCTCATCCCGGGAAGGGCTCCATGCCCTTCCCCAGCCCGATGCTCCCGCTGAATTCGCTTGGGTGGCTCCAGGTCACCCCTTGCATCGCCAGCCACTGGGAAGCGGTTTTTAATTTTCTAAAGCACCGATGCCTTGAGCTGGTGGCACTTGGCCGAGAGGCTTAGCGCCCTGCTCGGCTGTCAGATGTGCGGACACATGACTTGGGGAATAAGCTGCTGCCCTTGCTCCCGGGGCTGGGCCACTGGTGATCCCGGTGATCCCGGTGCTGCCGCGGGCAGCGCCTCCCGCCGCGTCCTGGTGGCCAAAACGCCACTTTTCAACAGTGGTTTTTAAGGCTCTTGCACCGCAGGGAGCAGAGCGGGGAGCTTCGCTCTTGCTCAAGGCAATGCAGGGAGCCCCCTCCTGTCCTTGCTCCTTCATAGGATAAAAAGCCTGGAGGAGGGAATGAGGATAGGGAGCTTAACCCCTCCGGGCGTGCCGGACCCCGTGCAGGAGCAGAGCCTGCTGCTGGTGCACACAGGGGGCGGGTTTGCATTGCTGTTCCCCCTATAAATGTGGTCACCTTCCCTGCATTTCCCCCCGTTTTTCCCGCTGCATTAAGGGCGCGCGGGGCGGGAAGCGGTTAATCCCTGGCGAGAGGTTCCCTTTGCTGCAGTCACATGCCTGCTGGCCGCCCGCCAGCCGAACCCGATCGCTCGCGGAGGAAACACTATCAGCCGCAGATGCAGCCAGGGTTACCAGAATAGTAAATAACGAATCACAAGACTCGGGCTATCTTTTCAACGAAAACAAATATTTTAATGTGCTGCTCGCAGCAGAGCAGCGGTTTCTCTTTCAAAACACTTGCGCGGCCCCGCAGGAGGCTCCGCAGCCGCCGTCGCTCGCGGGAGCTGCTTGGTTTTAGCCCCGGCTCCTGGGCCAGCGGTGCCCAACGTGCCGAGGTGGCCGCCCCGCAGGAGGCTGCTCCCTGCCCGGTCCCCGCGAGCTCCTTAATGCTGATCCGGGGCTGCTCCGGGTCGGGTGCCCCGCGGAGCAAACGGGTTCTGCTCAGGAGCAGCCCCTCACTCGGTTCCTTTGAGCCTGTCTATGTTGGCATTGTGTTAGAAACAGAACTGTTGCGGGTTAGGCTGGGAGCTGAGCACTGAGCTGGGGGTTAGTGCAGGGCCTCAGTGTGGCGCTCGGTGCGGCCTCCTCGAGGCCGGGCGGGCACCTGGGCCTCCTGCAGCACCTTCAGCGCCAACGCAGTGACCYGGCCCCTGGGCCTGCAGCACGGGTGGCACAAAGAAGTCTCTGAATGGGAATTTCCGCCCTCCACTGCTTGGTTTAATTTTCTGGGTCTTGTTGCTTGTTTTTCAGAACAACTATTTGCAACCTGTACACGATGCCACGGATTGGGGAGCCCGTCTGGCTCACCATGATGTCCGGGACACCGGAGAAGAACCAGCTTTGCCATCGCTTCATGAAGGAGTTCACTTTCCTGATGGAAAACGCTGCAAAAAACCAGTACGGTGGATTCTAGTTTTTAAATGTGTATCTATTCATGGCTTTTTTAATTTAAAAATGAACTTTCATGTATTTGCCACACGGCATCCCCAGAGGAGCAGAGCTGGTGGGGAAGTGCAACGGGGTGGGGATGCAAAACTGGGGGACCCAGGAGGGGGTTGCTTTGAAAAGCAGCAGCTGCATGGGCCGGCGCTGCACGATAGCTGCAGGATAGAGCACAGCACCACACRGGTTTGCTAGCCAAACTGGGCCACCCCTGGCACTGATACTCACAGCCTTTAAGGGTAGGGATCTGCTGCGTGCACCTGGCACGTAATTGGGGCCAGGAACGGCACCACCTTCTTTCAAAAAAATGTTTTTTTTTTTTTAAAGATGTTTTACAATATGTAGCTTGCAAAATAGGAAGTCTCATGATGGTTGCCAAACTGAGGAACTAATGGCCACAGGTTTAAAATACTTAATTCTACTTTAAGCCTGTGTTGTGTGCAGGGGTTGGTGGTGAGCCATGCAGGAAGGAAGAAGGTAGGCAGAAGGAACAGTCCTTGGTTGTGGTCATTAGGTTTTCTCTGGTATTTCTGCTCCGTGCCCAGTGTAGAATCGCTGTCGCTGCAACTCGTTGAGTGGTACCTGGGCAATGCGATGCTGAGCGTTTTGCTTACAGGTTTCTACCAGCTTTGCTGACTGCGGTCCTGACTAACCACCTGGCCTGGGTCCCTACGGTGATGCCCAACGGGCAGCCGCCCATCCGGATCTTCCTGGAGAAGCATTCTTCCCAGAGCGTGGACATGCTGGCCAAGACGCACCCCTACAACCCGCTGTGGGCGCAGCTGGGTAYGTGCCCGACGGCTCCGGAGGATGGGGGCAGCAGCGGGCGTGAACGTGGTGGCTTTTCCTGATGCTGTTGTTCCCTTTTCCCAACTTAAAACTCTTTCATTACTTAAAGCGAGGCAAAATTCAGCATTTCAAGGCAGGAATTTAAGCAGGTAGTACTTGTCATTCATGCTCTAATTTCTTAAGGCAGTGCCGGTTATAAAATGGCAGCCAAAAAATACAGCCCTCTTAGTCATCTACAGCAGGTCCACCCTGGTGGTGATGGAGGACTCGAGTTCTTCTCTGGTCCTCTTTTTGAAAGGAAACTCCTTCTTCTGCTYTTTGAGATGCTGCTATCAAGAGGCCTGATTCTAGGAAGAACAAGTGAAGGAAATCGTCTTTTAAAAGAGGGGAAATGGACATTTTGTCAGCGCGGCAGACAGAGTGACACAGTGCCGGAACACAGAATAGGGAATGGAGCTCCTGGGCAAGGTTACAGAGACCTCTGAAACCAGTGGCTTGAGTCGTTGGTCGAGTCGTTGGTCCCACTGCCTCTCAGGGCTGCTGAGGACAGTAGTTGAGCTTCCCACTTTGGGCCGTGTTGTCCTGCTCTGCACACTAGCTCTCAAGGAATTTGGTTGGGATGGAGAGCAGAAAGTTCTGCGAGGTCGTCCTGTCCTGATGCAGCAAGGATGGCCAAGGACTTGGCAAGGAGGCCCCTCTCCAAAACTCATGCGATACAAGGGATCCACTCCTTCCTAGCAGGGTTTCTGTGCCTCTTGCATCCCTTGTCCCTCATCCCCGTGTTCACACCGTGCCCTACAGCCTCCAAAATAAACACAAGCATTGACTCTTCCATAYGCAAACCTGGAATACGGCCCTCCAAGCTGTCAAAACCACCTATCCAGCCCATACTAGGGCTTAAGGGAAGGGAAGAGTTGGCTTCACCTCTGCCTCCCCACTGCCTCTATGCCCTTGGCACAGGTTTGCTTCTCCTTACAGCGCTCCTTGGTAGTTAAAAGTTCAGCCCAGTTTCCAGACTATCCAAGGTAATTCAGAGCAGATGCCTCCTCTCTCCCAGGACTATATAAGGAGCCCAGGAGTCCAGCCTCTAGAGCGAGGCACTGAAGTTAGGTGGTGTGAATACTCCCTAATATGTGAGATCAGATGTCCCCCTGGCCAGCGGGTCACCTTACATACGATACCAACAGCATCATTAGGATTCTCTGTATTAGAAACAAAATACCAGCCGGGCCGTCCTCGCTCCTCTGCCTCAGCTTTTCCCTGATGTAGACCTGGCCTTTGAAAGCTTCTTCCAGTTTTGTTGACAACATTGTCTGTTTTGAAGCATRGTTTATTCTAAAGATGAGAAAAGTACTTGTCTGTTCTGTTTCCTGTTTTAGGTGACTTGTATGGGGCTATTGGATCCCCTGTGAGACTCGCAAAAACAGTTGTGGTTGGCAAAAGGCACGACCTGGTACAGAGGCTGCTCTATTTCCTCACTTACTTCATCAGGTGCTCGGAGCTCCAAGAGACCCACCTGCTGGAGAACGGGGAGGATGAAGCCATTGTCATGCCRGGGACTGTGATAACGACCACGCTGGAGAAGGGAGAAGTAGAGGAATCCGAGTACGTGCTCGTCACGATGCACAAGAACAGGGGCAACTTGCTACCAAGCGAGGCTGAAGAAACGCGAACTCCCAACTGCAGCTGTAAATACTGCAAATGCCCAATTGCCCTCGCCCAGAGYGCAGAGGGTGTCTCCCAGCCAGAGAGAGAAGATGCCCAGAGCACTCCCAAGGTGGAGCTGGAAGTGTCTTCGGATGAGAGCAGAACTGTTGGCTCCACTGATGGCCAGGAGGATACTCTTGATGTTCAGCAAGCGAGAACGTGCCTGGAAGCTAAACTGGAGAGCGTGGTGTGCACGGGGGCAGCTTCGCCGGAGCAGCGCGTGCTGCCCGAACGTGCTTTGGAGCCAACAGCGCCCGCGTGGMGGGGCGAGGACTCGCTGGAAGGCAGCGGGCCGGCCGCCAGCGCGGCGCGCGCGCCGGGCATCGCCGTGGAAAAGAAGCCCCCGGACAAGCCCTTCTGCGCCGCCTTTCCCAGCGACGTCGCCGCCGCCCAGACCAAGGTGACTTTCCTCATCGGGGACTCCATGTCGCCCGACTCGGACATCGAGCTGCGGAGCCAGGCGGTGGCGGAGCAGATCGCGCGGCACCACGGGCAGCCGGCGCCGCCGGAGGCAGCGCCTGCCCCGCAGGGCTGTGCAGCTGAGCGCGCTGCTGAGGACCAAAGCAGAGACTGCGGCACAGCTCAGCCCTTTCCTCAAGCTGCTAGYGAGCACCCGAGCTGGAATCCAAATCCATACAGTGCTGAGAGCATGAGTCTGTTTGATGAATATTTCACCGATGACAGTTCAATTGAAACCCGGACTATTGATGATATCCCAGGGCAGGCAGCTCCAGACCTGCTCGCTCACAGCAATAGCTTAGACTTTTCTAAAAAGCTGTGCACAAAGGCTTGCAAACCACCCAGCGAATTTTGTAAGTTTATGGACTCCGTTCGGCAGGAGACCTACAAAAACTGCTTTGCTGAGCAGGACCAAAGAGACAAAATCTCTATTCGTGTCCCCCATGGGGAYAGAGAAAACGTGGAGAAAAAGGTCGCCCCGGGAATTGATTGGGACATTCCGAGAAACGAGAGCTCCGATAGCGCCCTGGGGGACAGCGAAAGCGAGGACACAGGGCACGATCTAACGAGAGCGGGCGGTAACTACTACGGAGGAGAGCAGGAGGACTGGGCAGAAGAGTACGAGATTCCTTTCCCCGGGTAAGTGCTGCTCAGCAGCCAGATACCCAAGGTGCAGCCTCTTCTCCTGTCACATATTTGCAGGAGTGCAGCCTAACTTGGCCCCGGTGGTTGGAAAAGTGTCTCTTGGGCATGTTGGTTGGAAAAGAGGTCAGTTGTCTGGGAAAAAAAGGCATTATTTGTGCATTGCCATCTCAGCTCCTGTCCTTTTCTTCCCCAGTGCGCTGACTGCAAAGGCTGACTGATCTTTTTTAAAGAGTGCTTGGATGGAAGATAGAGGAGATACAATAAATGTGGAAATGCAGCCTCGTTGTTAGCGGAATTTGGTGTTTGCTGTTGTATATCTCCGTGTTATGCCTTTCTTGCAGGTCAAAATTAGTTGAAATGAACTCTGTCCAGCCCAGTATTGCCAATTTTGGAAGATCCTTGCTAGGCGGCTACTGCTCATCTTACGTCCCCGACTTTGTTTTGCAAGGAATAGGAAGTGATGAAAAGCTGAGACACTGTTTGGTGTCAGATTTGTCGCACGCTGTGCAGGTAATTAAGCTATATTTGGTAAATGTATTTCTCACAGTAGGGAAAATCAAATGTTTTGGAATCAACAAACGTGCAGGAAATGAAAATAYTTGCTGTCGCAGCTCTCTCCGGGTTTCTGCAGCCCCAGACCACCAGTGCTTTCCTGCTCTCTCAGTTYGGTATCAGGAAAGCCTGGCTAACTAGGGGTGGCTCCACATTCACAAGGGCAGTGTGGGCTGAAACCAAAGCTGCTTGTGAGAGGTTTGTGCCCTTGGGCAGAGGGATCGCGGTGCTGCACCTGGGAGGAACGCGGCTCTGCTGCAGACGCTGCAGCTGCTGGTGGCCGCCRGTGCCGTGGGGACGGCTCCGTGTGCGCGGACGTCGCCTCTCCATGGAGCCTGAGCCCGGGAGCACGGCTTGTTGGGCAGGAGGCACCGGCCTGGGAATGGGCGCTGCTCCAGGCCTGCACGAGTCCAGCTCTTCCCCTCGCACGTTTCCCGGGATGAGCTGGGCTCRTTGTCCACCGACCCTCTCCAAGCTCTTGGGAAAGGAGAGGAAAACCCCAGGAGAGGAACGTGGAGCTGATGCCGCGGGGCCGCCCAGAGCGTGGGCAGCGAGGAGAGGTCCCCACGGACCCTCTGCAGGTCCCCTTGTCCCGACGGCCGCGACGCAGTCAGCACGGTCTCTGCGGCCGGTCCCCAAGTCACCGTCCCCCGGCCTTGCGCCCTGGGGGCAGCCCCGGGGGTCCCTGCTGGGGATTTTGCCTTAGGGCACCTGTGAGGTGTAGCTGAAGGCGAGGGAGGCAGCAGCGCTGCGGAGCAGCGCCCCACACAGAGGCTGACGTGCCACCGACAGCGGCAGGTCCCCATCCCCACCGCTTGGCCTCAGTGGCAAAGGCCAAAGACTGAGCGGATACAAAAAAAGAATTTAAAAAAGACTTGAGATGGTGACTTTCAATAATTAGCAGCATCGCGGTGCTGTGCAAAGGGAGGCTCTCTGGAAAACGAGGTGTGCTGAGAGCTCAGCCCAAAGGTATCAGGGAGAGGACAGTGGTTGGAAGAACTTCCTCCTCTTCCTTAAAAAAAAAAAAAAAAAAGAAGGAAAGCAAAAAGCGGAAGAAGAGGCTAGAAGAGGCCGGGCAGGCGCCGGAGGGCAGGCAGAGCCGGGCGGTGCCAGGCTCCCTCTGCCGGCCCCGCGCAGGGAGCCCCGGCGCCTCCACGCACCCGGCCCCGCGCAGGAGCAAGGCAGGTTCCTCGTGCTTTCCGTTTTAGGGGGTTAAAATAGGCTTTTAATAGGTTTTTTTATTTTACCCATGTTCAGTGAGGACTCTTTATATCAGATATCAAAACATAGTTGATAACAAGGGGCCGCTCGGAAGGACGGGAGAAGGAGCGGCTGCCGTCCCACGACGGCCTCCCGGGGCCCCGAGCGCCCCAGGCAGCCCCTGGGGACGTCCCYGCAGCCCAGCCGGGCACCTGCAGCGCCCGCGGCGCAGCCCCGGCGCTCGGGCTGGCGCCGCTCGGGAGCCAGGCCCGTGTCATTTCCCGTTCTCACCCCTGTGCCATGAAATTGCTGTTCTGTAGCACCCCGTTCTGGATGAACCCATCGCCGAGGCCGTCTGCATTATTGCAGACACGGATAAGTGGACTGTGCAAGTGGCCAGTAGCCAGCGGCGGATGATCGAGAACAAGCTGGGCAAGGAGGTGCTGGTCTCCAGCCTCGTCTCCAACCTGCTTCATTCCACTCTTCAGCTTTACAAGCATAATTTATCTCCGAACTTCGTAAGTATGAACGCAGACCACGAGAGCTGTGCCCTCAAAGGTTCCTTTGGCCTTCCAAGTTAATGCTCCGTGAGCTCCTGCCTGGTTTATTCTGCACATCCCCGGCCGTAGCCACTCGCGCGGCTCCGCAATCGAGACCCCCAAACCGCCCTGTTAATTGTCATTAACGAGCGCCTCTCTGCCCGCAGTGCGTGATGCACCTGGAGGACCGGCTGCAGGAGCTGTATTTCAAGAGCAAGATGCTGTCCGAGTACCTCAAGGGCCAGATGCGGGTGCACGTCAAGGAGCTGGGCGTGGTGCTGGGGTACGTTTTCCACCCGCTGCTTTCCCGGCTCCCCTTTCCCTGCAGGGGCTCCGGCCCTGGAGGCGCGGGCAGCGCGGGGGCCTCCCCACGGGCACTAACCTCCCCTTGGGCTTCCCCCTAGGATCGAGTCGAGCGACCTGCCCTTGCTGGCGGCCGTGGCGAGCACCCACTCCCCCTACGTCGCCCAGATCCTGCTTTAAGAAGCCGGAGGGCGCAGCCGCGGGCGCCCGGGATTGCCCTGGAAGCAGAAGGGAAGGCGGCTCGTCCTGGCTCCGCTCCCTCGGAAGCGGCTCGCGCCGYCGCAGCCTCTCCATATATGACTGCACGTCTGGAGGCCTCTCCTCTCCCTCGTGGCCGTTCAGGAGAAAGGAAAACAGGAGAARTGGATGAGCCTGAGATTGCAAGCACACGAAATCCACGATTTTAGCAAAAGCTGAAGACCTGCGTTTTTTTTTTTTTTCCTCAGCATCTGCCACGGCGGCTAACTAATTTATATTTGGGAGAAACTGCTTTGGGAAGGACATCCTGCTCCYGCAAACCCGAGGGGAGAAGTGGCGGCTGCCCGGCCGGCAGGCGCTGCCCGCGCTCCCCTTGCGCTCTCGGGCCTGGGCGGGATCGTTCGTCAAGAGCTTCTACTTTTTCAGTAACAGTCAAATTCTGGACGCTTCCCAGAGCAGGGGCAGGGGCGGGGGGACATTTTTGTTTTGTTTTGTAAAAAGCTTCCGAATGACCCCCAGCTCCACTGTTTATTTATACTCGAGAGAGGGGGGAGCGGCGGGCGGGCGGGCAGACCGCAAAGGAGCCCCCCTTCCTCGGCCTGCCCTGTAACCAGTATTAAATGTTTATAATGTTTAAATGTTGCTTTATACTAAGTGAGGCTTTTCTTTCAGAACTGAATCAAAACGTTWAAAAAAAAAAAAATCAGCAAGAAGCAGCAGCCCGAGCGAGACCTTTGGCTGAGCGGAGCTGCCCCGAGGCCCCGCGCGGCCGGACCGGTCCCTCGCTCTTTCTCACGGCYTGTGGTTTTCTTGCAACCTCCTTTTTACAGCAGGCAGTCGGCTATTGAACTAAGGAGCTAGAAGTGATTGTACCAAAGCATTGGGGAAAAAAAAGCAACGAAAAACAAGGTATTGAATATGACCCTTAATTGCTCAGGTAACTAATTGATATATTTTTTAAAATTGTTCTAYAGAAAAATGATYGCTGATTACGCCGTAGTATGATAATAGCAAAATTATTTTTTGACAAAACAGACCCTTGATGCGGAAGACTCTAACCCCTTTTCTACTCACTCGTGTGACTACCAGCAGGAAATGTTGTTTGTTTTACTCGCAGCATTTCTCCTTTACTCGGCCATCGCTGTCGTGTCGTTGTATATACAGTAGTTGTAGGACTAGCTGATGGAACCAACCTGGTGTGAGTCCTGTAAATAGGCCCTGGTAGCTGGATTATGTTTTCAAAGGCTCTACTACCTCAGTTTAACTGGACACTTCATTCTAGGCTTTTCTTGGCTTATTTGTCCTAGCAGCCGATTAACGTTGCTAATTTTAGCTTCCGTTTCCATTGTTTGCAGTGGATATATCAAAATTTGTGGATGAGGCACCATTGAAGTAGGAGATTCTTGGCCACTGAGCTATATAAACAGCCCTATAAATACCCGGCTCTGGGCTCAGCGGCCTTCCGGCCCTCGAGCCCCTCTTTAGGCCTGAGCCTCCTTTAACCATGCAAGGAACCTGAGATGGGGGAGATCCCTGTCCCGCTGCCCCTGCCCCTCTCGGGGCCAGGATTTTTCCCAGTGTCTTTYCCAGTCCCCTTTAAAAGCTCCAGTTTAAGGCTCTCCCAGGAAGGATCGGCGTGGGCAGCCCCTCTGTCTGCACGAGCAAGAGGACGTCAGCACAGGCCCTTCCGTGGGCGAAATCTCCTTGGCGGGGAGGGCGCCGCGTCCCGGCGCCGCCCCGGGGACTCCTTTCTCCCCTCTCCATTCCAAGCCCCCTTCTCTGCGCGGCTGCATGTCCGGCCTTGGGGACGAGCGCGGCGCCTCGCCCGCCGCTGCGCCCCCGTTTGCGGTGAACCCGGGGCTGGAGCTGCCCGACGCCGGGGCTGCCTCTGCGGGACGCCGGGGGGACACGGGGGACACGGGGGACACCAGGGACACGGGGGACACGGGAGCGGTGCCGCGTTGGGCACGCGCTGCTCTGCCCGCCGAGCGACGCACAGAGGGACCCGCCAGGGCACGAGAGCATCCGCTCTTAAATACCAAATCCCGGTCCTCCATGGGAACAGGGAATTAGCACTTCGTTTCTGGTCTCCACTACTCCCAATCTCCATCAATGTCTTAATTTGCTGCCTGAAAACTAAGTGTACTAGTCGCACCGATCAGATTTCCTTTTTTCGTTGCAATTGGCAAACACTGGGCTGCTAAGAACAAAAAGAAGAATATTTCAGAGAAAGGATTTTACGCCTTGCCTATGTTTCCCCTCTTAGTTATGATAGATATTTTATGACAATTTTTTGCTTTCTCTAAATTATTTAGAAGGTGGTACTTGTAAAATGCTGGGTAAAATGTACATACTTGTTATCTCTTCTGTTTTTGTATATATTTCCCAAGTTGTGCACTTGTATTATAATAACCATTCCCAATTTTAGGGGAACTTTGTGCAATAAATACAGTATGTCAATTTACTTCTGCCGCGTTCTGCTCACGTCCCTTTGTCACGCTTGCAGCAAGGGAGTCTTGGTGAATATGTAATATATATATGTGTGTGTATCTATGGTATGGTTTACATATATATGGCTTTATGTTTTTTATATAGAGAATCATAGAATCATTGTGGTTGGGAAAGACCTTTGAGATCGAGTCCAACCGTGAGCCCCTCGACACYATCCGGCGGTCCCACACGTGTTCCTGGGCGCCTCATCCGCAGGATTCCTGAGCACTGCCGGGGACAGCGGCTCCTCCGCATCCCTGGGCAGCCTGGCACTTCCACGTGCACGTGAGGAAGAGCTGCTTTGGTGTGAGGGTGCCCGAGCCCTGGCCCAGGCTGCCCAGGGAGGCTCCTGCTCTGGAGATCTCCCCACGTCCTGGATGCGCCTGGGTGCCCCGTGCTCTGGGTGTCCCTGCTGGAGCACGGGCTTGGACTGGATGATCTCTAAAGGTCTGTTCCAGCCTCAACCATCCTGGGATCCTGTGACTCCTCCGTGTGTCCCTTCACCTCGGAGAACGTGGGTGCGTTGAAAGCAGCACGTGCAGCGACCCCGGCACCTGCTGCAAAAGCCCAGCGGGGCAGTGAGACTCTGCAATAGCTGGTGCTGGGCGCTGCGTGGGCAGGGGCGCGTTTAGTAGTAGCAGCTGGGACGGGAAGTCTTGGATGGTTTTGATGGCCTGCAGAGAGCAGAAAAGCAGGAGGGCGGCGATGCCTGGATGGGCGGCCTGGGGTAGGACTGGGGGGACGTTCCCAGGGAACACGGTACTTCGAGCTGTGCCGCTCGTGCTGCAAGGGCTGCCCATCGGGCCGCTTGTTCTCACGCCTGTTTGGCTTTAGCAGCTCCAGCGGCTTCAACGGGAGGTCTCAGTCTCTGTCGTTTCAGATGACATCGCTGTGACGCAGGGCAGGCTGCAAAAGCATCGGCCTGGAGGCAAATTTACTTCTCAAAATACAGTTTAAATCTGTGAACCATTTCTTAAATTACAGGTTAGGGAAAAGCCGTCTCTCCCCATGGTAACAGATACGTGTTTTAGAGAACCGCAGGCTCGAGCTCATCTGGTATGAAAATGGAGCTCCCGCGAGCCGGGGTCCCTCTGCAAGGCACGTCTGCCCCCAGCTGTGAACTCGGCCCTGGGTTTAGGGGGGAACGGCCCTGAACCTCAACGCGGTTTTGCAACGTGTCGCGCTCGGCTGCCGCGGCCTGGCGGCCCGGGAGCTGCCGATCCCAGCACATYGGCCTCCGGCGGGACACCAGCGTGACGGATGGGAGCTCGTGAGGTGCTTGGAGCTAATTGCGGCTGTGGCTGCTCCCTGTCCGGACTGCGGCCGCGGCCGCCCCGCGGGCATCACTCCCGGGTTGCTGGGGGTTCGTCCTGCGGCCGGGCAGGAGCCGCCGCGACGCCGCTGCTGCCTCGGCCGTGCCCAGGATTCCCCCTCCTGCTCCCGCAGCTCCCTTTTCCCAGCTCCCTTTTCCTGGCTCTGTGGCTCTTGGCTGCAGGTCTCAGTCAAGAAGAGGATGAGGAGGGCGACAAAAGCCCGTTTAAAGGCAATGCAGATCTCTAAGAAATGTTAGTCACCAGAACAGCCTGAAAAATTCCGGTGTGCGGCCAGATGTGGGTGGTACTGCGCGTGGCTGGAGCCGGGTGTCCCGGGTGGTTTTGGGAGCTGCTTCCCGCACGGGTCGGCACCATGAGCCCGGTTCGGCCTTGGAGTTTTAGATTCCCAATATCACACGGGGAAACCAAATGCAAGCGCAGTCCGTCCTGCTGTGAGCAGAAGCTCCCGCGCGGGGCAGGCGCGTGGCTGCGGGCGGCTCTCACAACGCTAGTGCTTCCCTTCTACAGTTTATTATTATTCTTGCCCTGAAATTAAGGAATGGGGGCGGAAAACTCCTTTGTCACGGGGGATCCAGTCACACCTAAATGGGGTGTGGAAGAATCCTTGTGCAGTCACTGCACACACCATCATAGAATCATAGATTCARTTCCATAGGATCTGTGATTCTAGGAAAAACAACACAGTCTTCACAAGTGGTTATGTTTGCTGCGATGTCATTTTGGAATTTATGCAAAATACGGTTTTGAGAGATCAATTTTCTCATCTGAGAATGTTCTCCAACAGTGCTGCGACACGTGCAAAAATCTAACTTTCCTGCAAAGGGCACCCTTGCTCGAACTGCTGATTACCCCCRGTTTCACATGTGTTCCCTGAACAACAACTGTGTTTTGCTCCGGGAGGTAATCGTCCGAACAGGCACATGTGACAAAGCCGTGGCTAAGGGCAGGCAAAGCCAAGGCTAAGGAGGCTTTTCCCATGCGGAGATCCCAGACCATTTTGTTTCCATCTGGTCAGRCACAGAATCAGCTCGTGTGTCTTCCTAGCGGCCTGTTGAACACATTTCCTACAGAACCACTGGCAACTGAATGAGTCTTTGAAGGAGAATCTTTGGTCRTAGCTAAGAGATCAAGAAGGCCAGGACAGCAGCCTCATTGGAGAGAGGAGGGAGACTGCCAGGCTCTAGTAAATCTCACGGGAGCAAGAAACACATAGAATACATAAAAATACATGTAAAAATATTTTGGTTCATGACGAATGTGTATTTTTCCCACTGGGAGAGGTGAGGAAGTTGTGTTTGCCCTGAAGAATCTGGGAAATCTTGCTGAAAGGCAGGAGATGTAAAAGACATGGCTGGGAGCGCCAGGGAAAGGGAGCGAGTGCAGGAACACGAGTCCCGTTGTCTACTGGGATGGAGACAAGTTCTTCAGAATTTAGCTGATTGTTTCAAATCCACAGAGATTTGAAGCAGAAAATGGAATAATCTCTTGCAACTGCAACCCACTCACGTATACACAGAAAGGCATCTCCAATCCTTGCGTGTAAGAAGACTRTAAATGTTATTTTTCAAGAAATAAAGATTACAACGATAAGTAATGATGCGTTATTAGGGTTGATTGACACAACCCAGGAGAAACGGAAGCAATTTTCCCTCGTACACAAGCATCAGGCATCCTGCTCGGCCACATCCTTTAACCCCAGCCCTGAAATTAGTGGCTCGTGAAAGCGCCGTAATTGTACTTAAACGCCTGGGCTTTGCTGCACCGATGCACGCGCCGTGTGCCAGGAGCAACGAAAGTCCCGGACACTCATTGCCATTGTTCTCAAGATACTTGGAAAAATAACCTTGGAATAGCCCCTGGAATAACTGCAGCTACAGCCATCACTTAGCCAAATTCTGGTACTTTTGCGGTGAGGAAAGTCTTGTTTTRCAGGGCAGCCGAGGCAGGCAACTAAACTGAACCAGAAACTTTCTTCCTGTTGGGTCCCTCTGTGCACGCCCTCCATGCTGGTASTCAAAGGCACACAAAACAACATCATTTGTGTGCAAAAGCAGGGAAAAAAAGGAATTCTCAGGCTTTTATTGCTATAGGTAGGGCCCGTTTCCATGATATTTTGCTTTCAGGAATGCCAAATAGCTGGAAGAGGCGGTAGAAAGAATTAAGTTCTAAAAAGCAGGGTTAGGATTTAAAATATTATAGATTCACAGGAASGTGCAGAGCACAGATTCCAACTCTACTCCTCTACTTGCTCTACTCCTCCATGAAGGTTTGTCCAATCCCTTGCACTTTGGGAATGTTAACTAATTTTTACACTTTAATTGTAAATTGACAAAGAAGAATGACCTGCTTCACTGTAACATCTCCGGTTTAAAAAGAGAGAAAGTACGAGGAGAAAAACAGGAAAGCACAGACCAAGGAGCAGTCCAGCTTCAGTGCTTCTCCACTTACTTCTCCCCAGTCCTTTGGGAGATGTTTTTATCTACAGCTTTTAGAGTTGGGCTTCTGGCGTGGAATCACAGCAGAATCCAAGAGTACTGGAAACAATATTTTGTGTATTAAAGTTGAAAAGGAATACTATGTCCTGCCAAAGAACTCGTACAAACTTCTGACCTTTGGAACAGCAGTAGACATGGTAGTTGGGAATCTTAATTTCACCGCTGCAGTACGAAAACAAGTGAAAATTAGACTTTACAGCAGTGAAACTGCGTTCTTAACCTGACTGTCGTTTTGAGGGTGTCTTGCATTGCCGTTCCCTGGTAGGAACACTACAATTATTTTGTGATGTTAAAAATAGTTGCTGTGAAGAGCAGAGCTATCAATTCAGCTGTTGCTGCACTCCCAATGATACTGRGCACAATACCAAAGAAGTCAGTTAAGGAAATGTCAAATTTCCTCAGATTTTTTTGAGGAAATGCTAAAAATACTGTAAAATAACTTGGGGTGACCAGCAATGTCYCTCAGCGTAAGGAGGCCAATTGTGCCGTAAAGGGCAAGTGATAAAGAGAACTGGAAGGAATAACGGAAGACAGGGAAGAAACAAGGACGCACTTTATTGGGAAGAGAAATAAATAGAAGATGGCAAAGGGCAAACCCAGGCTGCACGCTGCATGTTCTGCATCGCTGGGCTGTGCTGAGCAGCGCTGCTGCCAGGGCCAGGCTTTATCGTCCCCTTGCTTTGAGACATCCCCGTGTCCCCTCCGTGGCCGTACTGTCCCACACCGGAGCTCCTCACACACTGCCAATGTGCTGGTGCCTCGCAACCTCAACAGGCTCAGGAATGACAAGTATTTTATAAGCTGTGAGGAAAAAAAAAGAATGCGAAGCCACTCCAAATATAGGTGTGACTGTTAGGAAACCGCATGCCAATAGATGGTGTCATGAGGAATGCAATCCCTGCCCGAGCAAACCGAGATACGGGGAGGAGCACGTCCCACGGGAGGCCGGGCGCAATCTGAGGGGAAAAGCAGCGCGGGGAGCGGCCGAGGCCGGTAGCTCCGCCGCTGGGGCCGGGACGCAGCGCGGGCAGCTGCGGTAGCTCGGCTGTCCCTCAGGGCGCCGCGCGGGAACCGCCTCAGCGGGGCCGCTCCC